AAAAAAAAAAAAAAAAAAAAAAAAAAAAAAAAGAAAAAAACAGGGGAAATTAACCCAAAAGATCTACTTAAAGAACCTTGAATCAAACAATTTCTTCATTTACCAACCTGCAACTTTGCCTCTACCATCCTCCGATACACCTACATCAGTTGTTTCTGGCCATGAATCGAACTTGGCTCGGAATATTATAGGTTCAAAGCCTTCAATCACACGCATTATATGTGACTGTGGACGATCAGGATCACTGACTAGCTCCTGTTAACAAGAAGAGATATAAGAAACTCGAGTCCTCAGATAAACATAGATCAATGAACTAGGGAGGTTCAGAAAATTACTTCTGCAGCTCTGCTGGCACCTTTCCTTTCATCAAGAGAGGTATTTCTCCCCATCCATACAAAAACTTCCGCCCTGCTATCTAGAATATAACATTTATTCGTGTCTAACAGCTCCCTAGCTAAAGAATCGGCCTCAACAGATTCTCTATTACCCTTCTCAACACTGCAAAAATTAGAGATCATGGAAGCAAATATGATTTTTTTCCAGCAAAACTTATTCATAACTTTGAAGTGATAACCTGAAAATGATTTTATACCATAGTAGTTTAATTGGATGCGAATCGACCATCTTATCACCTTCACTGCCTACTCGTTTTGGAAGTGGAGCAAAACCACCAAATAAACCCCAAAATTCTCCAGTATCAACATCTGCCATCAATTTGCCATCCTCTGTATGACAATAGACATGATTGGATTATTAGCAACATGATACCATAGAAACTATGAGCTTTCAAGTTTATGAAACTAAACTTATTATAACAAAATTAATAAATGAAATAAATATTTTTTATTTAAAGCAATGGGCTACTAAAGTTCTGTTTACTTACCAATGGCAGCTACTCCGCATCTTCCATCGTGATACGTATCTTTAATGTATTGAACTACTTCCAATGCCTTGGCCCTCTCTTGAATGGATGAGTTGGAACCATTAAATTGGAATATTTTAGACTTGGTATCGAGAATGAAAATATCATCATGGGTAAGCGAAGATCGAGCAAAAGTAACCTGCCATCGGAATGAACTTATAAAATGACCAAAAAAGAAGAATAAATGTGAAGTTAATTCCTTATCAGCCAGCATATCTGAGGTTAGACTTGCCTCTTTAACATGAACAACACGTTTTCCTTTGCAAACATACAACCGAGTTTGGTGTTCTTCAGCCTCTGCGTGTTTGAACCCAGACAAAGCTCCACCTTCTTGTGGTATAATGCACGGTTTAAAATATGATAAGAACTTCTCTGTTTCGTGACCTTGTACTTCACGGTACTGAACAGCACGTCCTCCAAGGGCTGCATCCAATTCAACAGTTTTGATGGCTGCAGTACCAGCTTCATCCTAAATTGACATGTCTTAAAAATTAAATTTGAAAACCAAGAGATAACTACCAGACAATTACTGAATGATTAGAGCTTACCTGAGTGGTATCCTTACCAAGCCAATAATGAATATCATGCCGCAAAGCACCACTTTTTAAGGATGAGGTCTGCCAGGTTATATACATGAATCACTAGAAAGATTGAGTGCCACCTTATTATGGTACGTGTGTTAAGGATACCTATTAACATAAAAGCGCGTAGTAAAAGATCAAACGATAACCACTTGCCTTCAGGACTATATAGGAATCTCCCATGAAAAATTTTCCGTGAGATGCTTTTGGTACTAGAACAGGACGAAAATTCTCGATGCGCCATACTTCAAGCCCACTATGTATTGTCAAGGTAAACAAATAGAAACTTCCAAATGCTAGAGAGGAAGCAATTGTAATGAATCACATAATAAAGAAATGGAAGAGATTGATTTTCTCAATTGTTATTTAATTCACATTATGTAAGGATACGCTTTCTGGCCAGCACCCTGAAAAGCTTGATCCAAATCTCTCATCGAGACAGCCATGTTATATTCGCAACGTTGTTGTTACCTACCACTTTTGGTTACATAAAGTCAGTGTGAAGCGGTCACAAACGTAACAGATCATTAAATTGAGACAAGTTTGAAGTCGAAAGAGATCTTATTACAAGTGGAACTATTGAGGTACAGTTACCTCGGTGAGTCGTCAAATTAGCACAAATGATTACAATCAATTCAACAATGATGTAAAGTAGCTGAATTTTAAAAGAGAGGCAGAAAATGTAGAACACATTTGGAAGTCACAAGGACTTACTCATAGGATAAGCAACACTAAACTAGTTTTGACATTCAGTTCCCTGCAACTATAACGACTCGAGATTAAAGACTGCACACAAAAACCATCCCTAAAAGAAAGCCTACCCTGAAACATAGAAGACGACACGCATATACAATTCCTGGCATCACATGGTAAAATCTTCCCAGTGTCCGTATCTCAAAATCAACCCCATGAAACCATGAAATCTGGTCATTTATGAAACATACCGTAAAGGAGTAAACGTTTTATTAATAAAAATTCCAGGCTCAACAAACAAAAAACTCTATACTTAATCATTTGTGACAAGCATATCCCACGAAGCTAAGGTACAAGGAACAAAGGAAGCGAACAGGAACGTATTGTTGGATGGTTAAGAAACTCCAATGCATGGCATTTGGTAGAAAAACGAGGGATAAACATAGTTAATGCACAAGATAGAGAAGAGGAAAATGAAGAATGAGAAGCCAAAATATTGAAGTACCTGGAAGAACAAAACTTGAAGGAGAATAATAACAGGAAAAAAAGACAGTCACCCAGATCGAATCCTAGCTTGTACAAGCTTTTGGAATTTGTAGAATCTTCACAACCCAGTAGAGAAAACGGAGGGGAGAGTAAGAAGGCAAGGACAAAGAGAGAAAACCGAGGCTGAAGAAGAAGACGAAGAGGAGATAATAGGATTAAGAAATTCAGAGAGAGAATATGGAGGGAATGATTAAGGACAGGCGTGCATATCACTAACTATAACAACAACGAAGAAAAAAAACACCACCCCACGAGATAAAACAACAGGGATTAGCCTTTTCACCGCAATACCACATTACCCAGATGAATTTTGTGGGAATTTTCTTGTTTAAACAGAAGATTCTTTAGAAGTCTGTTTCCCTATTAATCTCATCACAAATTTACAACAGTAAACGATAAAACTAGACGAAATGAACAGTAGAATGCAGTAAAATAAACAAAGAAACACCATGAAACAAGAGAAGAACACAAAAAAACAAAAACAGATGGGTACCTGTAAATTGTAAATGAGAATGGTGGGGTTCCCTGTTGACTGTGAAATGAAATCACTCGTTTCTTCACATAATAGTTTAATTGTTGTGCATTTGAATGGAAGATTAAAAAAAAAAAAAAAAAAAAAAGAAATTAAAGCATGAAAAGGGAAGGAATCGGTTGGTCGGGGGATTGAAATTGGCAAATGGGTTAGCCGAATTCCGCTCTGTGAGGATTGGCTGCGAATGAAGAGAGAGAGGATGGTCGGTCACCGTCCATGATTCAAGCACACCGCCAAAAAGCCTACGGTGGGGCTTTGCCATAGGAAGCAAGCGACTCTCTCTCTCTCTCTCCCCTCTGTTTTCTTTTGCTTTTTTGGATTTCCTTTTTTGCCCCTTAATTGGGTTAGGCTAATTCAATTTGCTTATGGTATTGTTAACGCTTGACAGTACAGTTCCAGCACAAAAGTAATTAATAAAATAGTGATTATGAATTTGGCTAATAATCATTTTTCTTTCAATTTTCTAATTCTTTTAAAATTATATTTGTTTTAATACTCAAATTTTCATATTAATTCCAATACTTATTTGAATTATAAGTTTTTTTAATCAAGTTTTAGCTACTACCACTTTTAAATTTTTAAATTTAGCTTGATTTTTAAATATATTTTTTAAAATTATGGGATAATTTAAGAAATATATATATAAACTCTTAAATTTTAAAATATTTGGTAATTGTAACTAATACTACTTTACTACTACTACTTCTTTACTGCTTAAAATATATCTTTAAATTTATTATAATGTTTAAAAAATATCGATAAATTTTACAAAATTTTATTAATACTATTCTCCTCTTTTAACGAATTAAATATAATCTTATTATTATTGTATTAAAAAAAGTTGCCATTTATTTTTATATATAAAAAAAGTTATTATATAAAAAAACCTGTCATTAAATTTTTTCCAAACTTTTTAATGTTATTTGGGTAGGAGTGAAGTCTTTTTAGCCTTTTAAATAAACCTTTTATAAATATTTAAATGTATTTTTTTTTAAGTTTTTAAAATTTTTAAAGAATATTATGAAACTTTTGAAAATTTAATAAACAAAATATTAATAGAAGAATATTATTAAATTTTTTAAAATCTACCGGAATTTTTAGTTTTTTAGTTTTTTAGTTTTTTTTTTTTTTTTGAGATAAATTATAAAGTTCGGTATTTTTATTAATTTATTTAAAAAATAAAAAATAAAAACATCCCAAATAATATATAGAAGTAAATAAAAGAATTAGGAAACCTAACTCTTCCATGTTCCTCCGAGTCTCACGTTTCCCCGCCACTTATTATTCTCCTTAAACGCGGTCTCTTTCTCTGCAACAACTCAGTGTTACCACCGTCGTCTTACTTCCGCTCGTGCCGCCGATTTTGCACTGATTGTTTACTCTCTGTCGTTACTGGTATACTTCCGATCTCCATCCATGTCTTTATTCTTACTTGAAAAACACAAATTAGGAGCTTCTAATGGAAGAACGAAGGTGTTGTTTTATTAATTATTATTATTTTAACTAAAGACAGTAGAATAGCTACTAATAAAGCCTTGTGGAAAACTAGGGATCAATTATTCAGCAGGCAATACCATTGGATCCTGACGTGAGCATAGAAGCTGGGCATACTTTCAGAATTTTCCACTGAAAATATTCATCAATGGTGAAGCAGTTAGTTCGTAAACGAGGTGAGGATTCTTGATTTTTCCTTTTCTTTCTTTCGTTCTTTTGTTGGGAATATGGCTTGATTGCTTAGCTAGTTCATGAAGATACAGTTCTGAGATGATTATTTTATATATTGCTTCTTATTGACAATGATGTATTTGTGTTTATATTTCCTTTAGTGCGCACTTACTTTTCATATGCGAGGGCAATTATGGTGAATTTTTGTGTAGGAGCCAGTGAGGCCGAGGAACTTGAAGTTTTCAAAGAGCAATCGAACTACGATAATTTGTTAATGCAATTACAATCATGTAATAAGGATGTTGCTGCTTCATGTATGAAAAGGTAGTATTCATTAACTGGATTTTGATACTGAATTATTATTATTAAAAAATTAAATGCTATTTGATATGGTTTATTCTAATTTTAAAGAATATTTACTATCTCTAGATTGTCGAATTGTGTTTGATACCTTCGTTCATTAATTTCCCGCAAATATGAATTAAATATGGTTTTACTATTTGTTGGGGTTACACTTCATGCATAAGCGTGATTTATTATTGTACTGTCCATGTTTCTATCACGATGCTTGCCATTTAGAGAAAGCCTCATGTGAGAGTTGGGCCAATACCTAATCTTGCACGAAAAACTAGAAGCTAGGCCGTAAAATGAGGAAACATCAAATTTGATTCAGACGATCTTGGATTAGCGGTAGTTAATTTTGTGACCTGATTCTTATTAATTTGAGTCATTAATTGTGTACTGGTGGATATATTATGCATATAAATTTTCATGAGAGCAACATGTTTGCTCTATACACAAGTTGTTGGACGACACAATATTTCTTTTTATACTACTTAGCTCGTGGAATTATTATTTCTTTCTGCAAGTTGCTAAGGCACCCAAGTTATATTTGCCTTAAATTTGAACTTTCTCTTTTTTTTCTTGTCTTGTCCATGTTTTTCCCTAGACAAAGACAAGAAGAAGGCAGAAGTGACACAGAGGATGACGAGGATAGCTGTCCTGAATCTTCTAGTGCATTAGAGGAGGAGGAAGAAGAGGAAGGTAAGAGTTTTATGGGTTTCTCATGGCATTGTTATTTATGTTTCAGTATCTTTTTGACCGTTGATTTTTAATATTTTGGCTAGTTGTAGAACTTCTAGTCATCCAAGTAGTCCTTTGTTTCTCAAGACACTAACAACGTGTTTCAAAATTGTTTTAAAAATTTTCTTCTTACCGTCAACAGATGTATATGTTCTCATGGCTAAGACTATTAGACTATCTTTACCAGTAATGCTGTTTTATGGCATTGATGGTTTTAATTAATTTATTTATTGAACCTGATGGTTAATGTTAATATCAGGAAATGACTTTTTTCTCTGTTTCTTGTATCCCAAATAAAGAAGTCTGACAATGGGGAAAATCGAGGCTGGTCTTGACCTTGACCTTTTCATTGACCTGGCCTTCTGTTTTGTTCTTTGCTTGGAGCCTCTTTAGTATGTTAAACTATGAAGAATAGTGCCCATTATCCTAAATGGCAGAATGTGGAAACTCTTTTCATGTTTCCACCATTTCTTTTTCGGGCCTTTTTTGTAAAGTAGAGGTTTTTTCCTGTTGATGGGGATAGACCTTAAAATTGATTGTGAAGACCAACAATTTTGTTATGAGAAGTTTGAGCATTATGCTTCTAATCTTTTGCTAAGAATGTCATTTAAAATCTCATTGAAGGAGTTGGATCCCCAGTCAGGCTTAAGACTATTCAAAATTTTAAACATAACCCGAGTAAAATCCAGGAGTTTCTTCTAGGTTTCTTTTGGTGGCTCCCGTGTGTGCTTGAACCTATGCTTTGGTACAGCCAAGTTTTGTAATATTTCACTCATTATAGAAGACAGTACCTTACACAAATTACAGAAATTTAATGATGAAGAAAGTTTCTTTTATTAGTTTTCACTAGTCCTTTTTGTTTAAGATTTGAGCATCGTTTTTATCATCTTTTCTATATGAAACTTATATATCCTAACGTTATATTTTATATTATTGTTTGGATTCATCCCGTTGCAAAATTTTGCTTTTATTTCATTATACAAATTCTCCATATTGTAGGGACTGATGATGAGTCACCTAAAAGTTCATCTTTGGGGAACAATATGTCTGAGCCAATGCCAAACAACGAAACTGAAGAGGACACTGAATCTGATAGGTCTGACACAGATCAGGAAAATGAACTTGAAGTTGGTTCGCATGGTGACCCTTCTACATCAGATATAACTAGGTTAGTCCATAATTTTATGGTGAATCATATAAATCATGTCCTTTGTTTTTGAGATCTAATCTCATATTATATATTTCTCTTCACCCCTTCTTAAATTGGACCATGAAGTCAATGACATAAAAATTATAGTTGCTTGTTTAGATATTAAACTATATAGTACTGATTTCTTCAATTCTAAATTTAGGGCGTTCGTTGATTGGGATGGGTGGAGTTCTAGACAATTCCAAATGTTTGAATTGGAAATTTTCCTAAGCTCAAAAGCTCTCGTTAGATTATGGGTTCTATTTAGGTCGAGTTGGTTTAGTCATTTATTTTTGAAAAAGATAGTAAACCACCAATACTTTATGAGCATATTTGCATATTCTTATGTATAAATTTTAATTTGCAAACTCTCTATTTTCAGAGTTCTTTCAAATGTTCGTAAAATTTTGTGAAAAGGGAAGCAGAAGTGGCAACCAGTGAAATGAAATATGATCTCAAATACTTCACAACTTATAGAGTGAAAAAAAAAATTTAGTTAGTGATTTCAAGTTGTTTTGGTTCTACTCAAATCAATTTTATTGGACTTATTCTCCCAACTCAACTCATTGGTGTTGGGTTGGATTGTTAAGTTTTAGCGACTTGATGAGTTCAATTTTCTTTAGGTGTTTTCGATAGAAGAGGTTTGTAACTAAAAGGATGTTGGTTGGAAGAGTGTGGTTGTGGCCTTTTAATCTCTTATTGTTATTATCATTATAACTGTTTCTTTTAAAAATAAAATTAAGGAATGAAGCTTTTACTTGGCCATAGAGATCATAGTCATATGATTTATTGCTTATACTTCTATTTATGCAGTTCATTTAACAAACACATGGAGCACAAGTTATCAAAAGAAGAGGTTGAGAATTTCCCTAAAATGAAATGGAAATATACATGGGCGGTTCCTGCAGTAGGGATGTCTAACTGCAAGTGGTCAGGGACCGGAGAGTGCTTTCTAAAGGTATTTTAATTTTTACATCTATAGAGTTTCTGAAATCTGATTTATTTTTGTGAGTTCATTCTTCCATCCTTATCAAAAATTTTAATTCTCAAGTTCTTCTTTTGATTGTTGATGCTAAATATTTTTAATGATTATATTTCAGGATTTAGAAACCAAATCTAGTAATTACAATCTTAAGCAAAGGTTATATGAGCACTGGTTGGATGTGTACAAGACATCTGGAGGCACTGACTTTCATTCGTCGAGACAAAGATTTTTCTTTTCCCTTTGTGAGTTTTCTTTTTCTTTTTTTTGGGTATATGTGTATATTGTATACAATTGCTTTTGAATATATAGCCGCACTTGCCGCACACCTTTACAAGCTTTCATATTCTCCCCTATCAGAAGATTCCTTTTACGGGATAAGAATTGAATATTTCATTCGCATATTCTTGTTCAATTTTTTTTTTTTTTCATGAACATATTTGTAAATATGATTTAGATGAGGACTCAAAGTTGGATGAAACAGAAAACATGGGTAAGATGCAGGCGTAAGCATTAATCTTAAATATTTTTTTGGATAAAAAACCAATCTGTCATTGAAAAAAAATGAAAGCATACACAGGAATGTTAAACAAAAGTTCATAGCCAGGAGTTTGAGAACCTTGCAAAATCTACGGCATTCCTTAATATTCTCTATTTCTTTCATAGAGATTGACTTGATCACGAGACTGAGAATTAGCTTTTTTGTTGTCTTTCCAATCTGTAATTCTTTCCCTAGATTGTAGAGATCTACGTTTATAGTCCCTTGATATTACCAACTCATCCAAGGACCAATTTTGAATGTTGTGTAACTAGTTGGATCTTTGCAAAATTGTCCCAAAATGTTTTCCTTTTCCAACGTACAAGCCTTCCTCTCTCTAATTCAATCTTTTCAAACAAGTACTGGACAGAGAAAAGAAAACTGCTTTATGAAATTTTAATACCCAAAGTTTCAATCTTGGCATCAGTTGTTGTCATGTCTTTAGTTCAGCCGACTTGTGATGATTTCTAGCTGCTAATAAGTAAGTTGCTTAGTTATATTAACTTAAGCTACTAGTTTAAAAGGTTAGGCTGTTTTAGCTTTGATAATTTGCACTGTTTTTCTTATTAGACACAAATTTCATAGATAATGTGAAATTACATACGGCAGATAGCTGAACAAAAGCAAAGGAATTACAAAAAAGCTCTACGACAATTATTTATAGAATTAGATTGTGTACAAAAGGTTTTAGAGAGGGAAGCCCAAGAAGATGTGCAAAATCACTTAACTACAAACCACTTCCTTAGGAGCCTTCATGCTATTGGAAATTCTTTTGTTTCTTACTAACCCCATTTCCCAAAAAATAGCCATGATCTTGTTGACCTTATTCAAAGGATCTTTAACTTCTCCTTTAGCCACAACCTCAAAAACAATAGAAAAAAATCCCTGAAATTTTTTGCCTCACGAAGTAGGAATTGAAAAGACCAAAATTTTTTCAACTGCCACTTTCAAAACTTACATTTCAAGAAAAAAGGTGGCCTTACTGCCCTGGGTCCCGTGTTTGAATCCCCAAGCCATCATACTAGTGTGTAAAACTTTGGATTGCATATGTTTCCATTCCAAGGCAAGTTGGCAAGCTGTTTTACAGGTTCTATGAGAACTGACATTTTGTGATTGTTGTTGGCTGTCAAAGACTCTCTTAATAAGAAATTTATTCTGCTAGCTAAGATTATTGGTGTGGAGGTATTGATTTTGTTGGGTTGCTAAAAGCAGTAGATTTGGGTCATTTGGCTGTCAAGAGTGGTGAAATATATGTGTTTGTGGATTATTTATTCTCATAATTGTTTGTTTGTGTATGCGCGTGCATATGCATTTTTGTTGCTTATCCTTCTAGTTTTCTTTCAGGCAACAGCTACCGGGATATACTGAACTGCAACAAGAAACCGTTTTATTTGAAAGGTCTTGAAGAAGACTCAAGTATCATGGATTCATATATTATGCATACTGTACGTGCATTCCTCTATTACTCCTTATGGAAAATCATTTAGAATATATATTTGTTCGTGTGAATGAATCACGAAAAAAAATGTTTTGCAGTTGAATCATGTTTTCAAAAGTGGAGACCTCATAACGAAGAACAATTCAAAAATGGCCAAGCATCAAGACTGTGCCGAGATTCTTAGTGGAGAGAAATTTCTTGATCATGGATTTACTCGTCCAAAGGTTGTAACTGTGGTCCTTCATTTTCTTTTTATATGCTATACTGAAAAGGTTTTGAGTGTCTCCAGTTAATTGTTTATGGCCCCCTTTATCTCATGAATTTTTCTTAGGACTTGGAGGCAGTCTAATCTATTTGCTTTTCAACTTTTCTATTTTATCTGTTTTACCCCATGAATTTTATGCCGCTTTTTAACTAGAGTTCTTCTAGAGCTGATCATGGGTGGCAACCTAATGCATTTCTTCGTGACTACTATTTCACTTTGTTTTTGGTCTCCATTTTCCAGTTCTATGTCTATCTGCTTAATCTGTTTTAGCAATCATTGCACGTCATCCTTATATTTAATCCGAACCAAAACATTTACCTTCACTTATAATTCTATACACGGTTTTCTAAACCTTACACATTTTTTGTTGACTTTTGGTATTTTCCTTATAAAATTGACATTCTTATGCTAGTCTCAACATTTCATATTCAGACCTAGTTCCTGTAGGTACTGGTGTTCCTGCATTATTTACTCACATTCTCATATTATTTGCTGTTGTATGTGCATTAGCACTTTGAAACTCACTTGGTGATCTTGCATCAGCAGAACGTAGAATGACCAAGTCACAATGTCTACGTGGTGACTCTGTTTTTCTGTAATGGGAAAAAAACAGCTCAAGTAATTGTAATGAATTTCCAAGTCTGATACACCTCAGGCATTGATCAGTCATCATTTTTTTTCTAAATAATAATTTCTATATGTTTAAACCAAACAAAAGAAACTTGATAGTTGAAACTAATTTGTTCTGTCAACTTACTCAAGAGTTTTGTTTCCTTTGTAAAAAAAGCTTAAATTCTTTGTTGCAATAATCTGCCTCAGGTTTTGATTTTATTGCCCCTTGCGAGCATTGCACTTCGTGTAATTAAAAGGCTGATACATCTTACACCCTCGGCAAACAAGGTATACAATTCTTTAATGAAAGGATTATGTTTGTGATGAATGGACTATATAGCTTGCAGTACTACCTTTCCTTTGCATTTTTAGCACATTTCTACTAGTGTACCCTTTGTAGGACATATGTGTTGGGTTATTGTCTGGAATGCAATAAAGTTTAAATGTAAATGAAGTTTCCGTCCGTGCGCTCTTTTACGGACACATGTAAATGAAGTTTAAATGAATCTGCTTAGTTTACAAGGGGCAATGAACGCTTGCATTTTATTACTAGTCAGAATAAACCAGCAACACACGTTGCACTACATTCTTGCAATGAATAACACCCCAAAGCTAAAGTAAAAAATTGATTGTTAAACCATAGTCAAGATACCTAGCTCCATTTTTAACCTTTTTCCTATGATTTTTAGGTTACAGTGGAGCATCTTGACCGTCTATACAAAGATTTTGGAAATGGAGATGTTGGGAAGAATGAGGATATGGATGAATTATCTCTTAATGACCAGAGTTTCAGCGCTCAAAAATCTTCAAAACCTTCTGACTTTCAAGCACTTTTTGGTGGGAATAATGAGGATCTCTTCATGATTGGTATCAAGTTCACCAGGTGAATTACGCATACATTATAGTTCTATTCAGATTTATTTTTTTGGCCGAGAAGAAGTCTCGTGAATTTCGAATATGTTAGCTTCATAAAATTTTTATTTTACATATGATCAGAAAGTGCTATAAGCCTTTTACTCCCGTTCTCAAAATTGATTATATGTTTATCAATTTTTTGTGCCTTAGTTATAGGAATTTTTTAATATAATTTCTTCCTTTTTATAGTTTGCAATTCTTGTTTCCCGAGAACGGAAACGTTTGCAACATCCATAAGCTTTAAGCTTTTTTTTAATACTATTTGTAAATTTTGTGTATTTTGTTTTTGAATTGCTCCTTTGATTGTGCCTTTTTTTTTCTTTTTTTTTTTTCAATTTGAATTTGAATTTGTAAATTTGTTTATTAATAAATTCTATTTTTTCATATAATCAAAATAAATTTATTTTTTCAACTTATTTGTATCAATTGTTTTATAGGAAGAGCATTAGGTTGTTCAGTGATTTCTATTCATCGGACATAATTGTCGCTTCACCCCTTGGTCTGATTACGGTGAGTTATTTTTTCCCTTAACTTCAAGGGGCATTTCTTAACCCAAAAATTTATATTTCCACTATGCCCCGAGTAGATATTTTCATACTTTGATTATTTGTAGGATTATGATTTTTTCAAATTTTCACTATAATGATATTCTAGCTCTTAATGTAAAATATGCTTAGTTTCAATTATTTACCGTGAAAATGAACCCCACCAATTATGATATATATAAGGTGTGGTCGGATATATTTTGTCATTTTTTTTTATAAAATTGGAAATGCATAATTTACTTATGAACACTTTTTCTCAGAAACTTGGCGAAATGGAGAAAAACAAGGAGAAAGATGTCGATTATCTTTCTTCCATTGAGGTATTACTTCTGATCAAGTGTATTCTTGTGTAGTTCCTCTTTTTCTTCGCTTATATGAAAATTATGCTTCATATGAACAGGTCCTAATCATTGATCACGCAGATATTATAGAAATGCAGGTATTTCTTGTGCTACTAAACTATAATCTTTGTTTATAGGCTTTATGATGCATTATAACCTTGAGCTCATGTGAATACTAGAACTGGTCCCATGTGAATACCGTTATTGAACACATGAATAAGATACCATCGAAGCAGCATGGAACTGATGTGATGCGGATAAGACAGTGGTATGTTCCAGATTATCTTTGTTCATTATTTTACTCAAATGTAAATCAAAAGAATCTATGTCTATTACAATAAAACGGTATCACATGAAACCTGTATTGATGACTTCCCTCTCCACTCTCCCCTCCCTTGCTACCCAACATCTCCATCGATCATGACTCCACTGCCACTATTGGGAGGGTCTACACAATTGAGATAGACCAAAGGTATAGAGTAGAAAGAATGAAAATCACAGACACCAAAGGATCACTCTTTCTACATCTCCATCCTGCAACCCTCTGTTCTTGGCTTGTAGATTGCTTCACAGATCTACAAGGTGGTGTTTGTCCCATCAATTTTGACATCCGTCCTTCCTCTGATGATACCTACCCTCTTTTCCCTTAAATTGTACCTTGCATGCTGACAGACTCCCATCCCCTCCCCAGCCTCAGATGGTCCACCCTATATAGTCAAAAACTCATTGGATTCTCTTTTGGGCTGAATGCATCCTCTACTTTTACTCGCCCAAATACGAAGGGCCTAATGGATTCCACAACAAGCCCTTTCCTTTGACCACTATACATCCAACCCACTTCATTCATCCCCCACCACATGTCTTGACCCATAGTGACCCAATAGATCCATTTCCTTCTCCCCCAGGCCCTACTGGATCTGCACCTAACCTGCTTCCCCTTCTTGCAGAGGCATTACCGACCCTCTCTCTCACTCATCTCTACAATCAAATTTTCTGTCACTATCCATTAAAAAAAACTGTTAATATCGATACAGAAAACTACTTATTTCGCCCCTTCCTCCTCTCCTCTGCTGCACCCTCTCCTTCCTCTCTTGCCTTCTCGCATCTTCTTCCCTGCATAGATCAACCCAGGCCCTCCCCTTTACCTGACCTTGGTGACTCAATTGTTGGCCAAACTTAGATGGAGCTTCTCAAACAACCGCTTCCCCCACCTCCCTAACTGACTTGGATGATGCAGTTGAAGACCCAACTAACTGGGCTTGTTTCCACAGTAAACAACGACAAACCTTCCTCCTCTCAACAAGGTGGGCTCACACCATTTGGATGATTATTACAAAGCATAATCCTGTCATAGTGATTCTTCAAGAAACTAAAACCTTCATGGAGCTCTTAGAACATTGATGGGACAGAGCTTGAGGCTAATGGAAGACACCGTTTTTGGCAAGATCTTCTGGACCTATCAGCCCTTTGTCTCGACAGGTGGATTCTAGGGGAGGATTTTTATGTCACTAGATGAGTAATGAGAAATCGACTTGCTATGTTAGTAGAAGCATGCGAAAATTTAGTTCTTTCACTGATTGCTGTAATCTCATCGACTTGCCCCTCCAAAATGGCCTTTACACTTGGTCTAGCTTTAGAGAGAACCCCATTTTGTCCCTCATTGGTAGATTCCTTGTCTCTAACCCTATCCTTTATAAATACAAAGATGCACCAGTCAAGCGTTTGGATTGGCCTACGTCCATCCATTTTCCCATCATGCTGGTTTTGGGTTCAATGAAATAGGGTTCCTACCTTTTTTGTTTGAAAATATGTGAATGGTGCACCACCCCTTTCTCCCTTTGATTCAAAATTGGAGTGTCAATACCTATGATAGATTGTAGAGAAGGTCTCCTTATATGGCCCTTTCTCCTTATATGTAAAGCCGATTCTAAATCTCAGAGCCATCTGTTTTTCTCATGCCACTTTGCTGCCAGGTTCTGGAAGGAGCTCTTTTCCTCCTGCTGTTGGTCTACTAACCTTCCTGATGAGATCAACAGCCTCCTTATGTTTTCGTTTGACATCCTTTTTCCTAGGATAAAAGTCTTATTTGGATGTACATTGTTCAGGCACTTGGAATGAAAGGAACAACCCTATTTTCAAGGAAAGGAAAGTTCTTTTGAGAGTTCTTTGAACAAGTTATCTTTGCTATGTGTTAGTACAAATGTTCTTCATTTTATTGTTCTTACAGTCTCTCTACACTTTTGTCCAATTAGAGATCCCTTCTGTAACTCCTTTGGTTTTGGGTTTTTCCTTTCTTTTAAATTTCATACATCAATGAAATTTGTTATATATATAATTAATCAACCTGTTTTCATTAGGTTTGCATGCTTGAAAATTTTATCCCATTATCTACATTTATGAAATCACTGTCATATTTATAGGTATCTTGATGGATATGCGAGGTTCTATAGGCAGTCAATAGTTTTGGGTTTTCACTCAAACCCAGGTAAGGTACACCTATTGTTTGTATGCAATCCAATCCATGTAGCTCAATTTCTTGAATCCCAAAATAATTGAGTTTCTAAGTCATTTTCTAACTTGATTTAATGCTACATACTATGTGAGTGAGAATACGCTTGGTGGGTTCAGAACTTTAATTTTGTTCTATGTCAAAAATGGCTGGAGTGGGTTATTTGATTAGACACTTGAGCAAGAGGGTTCTGCTATTTAAATTGTCGAACCATCTATAACAATGCTTTTAAACCATATGGGTGTTATTTATGTTGCAATGTCATCATGACATAGAGTGACTCGTGTTTTAATAATAACAATGGTCTTGAAAAATCTCATTTTGCTTAGTTTTTGTTTTAATTCTGATAATGATTTCAAAAAAAGAAAATGTTGTGCGTCAACTAGTTCACATTTTTAGGGAAAAGATATGAATATATAAATAACAATTATGAGTTTGGTAGGGGTCATTTGTTAATCTCTTTTGGGCAACGATAAATTAAATAGTAGCATGAACAAGTAATAAATAACAGGGAATTCAAGAAAATAAAATAAAAATGTATTAGATCAAGTTATAGTATCTGGCTATCTCTGCAAATGCAATTGCTTTACAGTACTACCACAGCGTACTGTGCAATTATCCCAAACTGCCGTTTTAGATATTTTCCCTTTAATGAATTATGAAATGGTTCGTTGTAAGCGGGAAATTTATTACCTCTCTGATGTTTAGATCTTGTATGAATAACTGTATTTTTATGACGTTGAATCTTTTATTATAATCTTAATGATTGCGATGAAGTATTTTTAATTTCTTTTACATCTTGTTGTTAATAGATATAAATGGATTTTTCAATCGCTACTGCAACAACTTCGAAGGAAAGGTGCATCTTTTTTCTTTGTTACATATTCTTAAAAAATTAGGAACCTGGAGATGGGCATTCAATGGCAGATTTTTTTTTTTTTTTGATTTACTGATTTTCTTTTACTTGGTATGGTTTCATCTCTATTTATTACATATCCTGAATGTTTAACATGACATGTGGTAGGTGAGGTTGTTATGTGAATACAAAGGCATTCTTCCAAAAGTGGTGCTCCAAGTCCGCCAGGTTTGTCTGCTTTTTCATGCTTTTCTTTTCCTTGCTCTTGCAGCAGTTGTTTTTCATAAGAACTTGAGAAAGAGTTCTAGGTGCTTCCTGCAAAAGCACCTTGAAGTTGTTTGAATTGTTTTTGAAATTGCTCATTTTGGGTACTTTTCTTGTGTGTATGTTTGTTTCAGGTGTACGAGAGATTTGAGGCAGACTCTATAGCTAATGTTGATGATGCTCGTCTTGAGTACTTTTCCAAGAAGGTTTGTTTCTTTTATTTTAGTGGTGTAATACAGAATGATTTTTCCTTGGGGGGAAATAGAAACATGTTAATTTTTTAGCTTCGTTTTGTCAAAAGATATGGGGCTTGATTTTGAAACTGGCTGTTAGTGTGATGCTGGCCTCCCCTGCAATAATTTTTAGATGATCGTTCATGCAGTGGTTAAAGCTTTTGAAATAGTTATAAATCTTTTCTTGATGTTCACAATGATTAACGATATTAGGCTGAGAATGGAATATATACGAGAAGTTTATTCTGCTTAAAATCTAGTATCACGCAGAGGTTGTTTTTGTTTTTTTTAAGGTTCTTATTTATCCTGTTAATCTTGATCAATTTTGATCTCAAATAGCAAATACTTCAGTTAGTTGTTTGAGGATTTGACTTGGTCGATCTAAGTGAAAATAAAGTCGGATAAACCAAACTATCTGGGAAAAAAGTTAGCGGAAGTGAGATTCAATACCCTTATTATTGATCTGATGATTTAAAATGGGTGTCTAATTTCTTCTTCAGGTGTTTCCAAAGATAAACGAATCTAGTCAGGTAACGTTTTTTTCACTATGATGACATTGTTTGATTGATGAAGTCTTACTTATATATTTTTGTCTTATCTTACCCGTGGAATTTTTCACTCAGGGTGGAGTCATGCTATTCATTAGTTCTTACTTCGAGTTTGTCAGAGTTCGGAACTTTTTGAAGATGCAGAATGCTTCATTCTGTCTTCTTGGAGAGTAAGAAACCTGTCGTTTTACTTCTAAACTGATGCATAAATTTATTGATTTTTTTTATTTTTTTATTATTATTTATTTTTTCTTCTTTTGCTGTATCCTTGATTGCTTCTGTTGTCATGCATAATGATCTAGTTCTGTTCTTTAGGTATACAAAGCAAAGTGACATCTCACGGGCGCGCAATTGGTTTTTTGAGGGAAAGCGGAAGATCATGTTATACACAGAGAGAGCTCATTTTTATCACAGATATAAGGTTACTTACAACGCTATATACCTTTCTAAAAAGCTTAATTTCGACTTCAATAGTGTATATTTGTTATCTGCTACTGAGAAACATTTGTGCGCGTCAGGTTTTGTGTTTTGGTAACTAACTTTCATGACCAGAATGGGAGAATATAAGGGGACAGAAAAGAACGATCGGGAGATTAGATCCCTAGCCACTCTAGTCTACCGGTTTGCAAAAAGTTTTTCCTGTTGGCAGTGATCCTAAAGAATTATAATTAGAAAACAAGGAACTTAGGGGGAGTACATTAAAAGTAGCTTAAACTTTTAATCATCTCCCATACATCCTCTAAATCACTCCACTTCTCTTTGGAATTTCAAAACCACAAACCTAACTGCATTAGACCATGAAAATTGAACTTCAGATTTTCTTTTCTAAAATTTTTACTACTTTAGCAGTTAGCAACAGCTTTTAGAGGGGCATGAAGCAAATTGGGATACTCTAGAGAAAACATTGAACCTAGATAACCTGCCATCGATGGAGAAAGAAACACTCCTCTGTTTACATGATGTTAAATTTTGAAACATCTTTTGTATTACAGTTGTATGTAAATGATTTACGTGCTGTAGTAAACTGAATTTCATTTATTAATCATGCTTATCCGACTATTCAAAATGATTGCTTAGCACAAGCATTTAGCATATATCATATACTCCCAATGAAGAAAATTTGTGTTTTATGTTGTATCTAACTTTAATTGTATCCTTGAGCTTCCATCAATTTTCATTTATTCAATAAAAAGTTACGTTTCTTGTTTAAAAAAAAAAAAAAAAAAAAAAAATTGTTTCTCTTGGTAGTTTCCGTTACTTGTGGTCTTCGGTAATAAAAATTGTTATCCTTGACCATGTATTTTCTTCTTGGTCTTAGATTCGTGGCATACAAAGCTTAATAATGTATTCCTTGCCGGAGAGGAAAGAGTTTTACCCTGAGGTAAACATGATGATTTTCTACTGGACTAATTATTAATATTATGTTACACCATATGTTTGATTTCATTATGACATCCCCACTACTCTTCAGATTGTAAATATGCTTGATGGATCCGACAACATGACATGCAGAGTTATATTTTCTCCTTTTGATCATCTCCGGGTAAGTGTCACTGTGCTGTTGTATTAGAACTTGTTTGAGGTTGATATTACGAATTCTTTTGCATGTCCAAGAGGTTTGAGTTCAATTCAAGATGCCATCTTGATGTGCGAGTGCTATATACATTATGCTATTACTTATAGTTGCAATGAGATCCCTGTTTCTTTCATTTTATTAGTTTTGAATTTCACATGACGAATTAACTGTTTTGAGTTCTTTGAGTAATCCTTCCTGGTATAAAAGACATAAAAAGAATGTCTAAATCCAGGACTAGTTAAACGAACATAGAGAAGTTACTACTTTGTATGACAGCTCCCAACCCTTGTGATTCGTGGTATTTTTTACGAACTTGGACTAAAAAATGGGAATTGTCTAGGTTTTATGTCAGTTGTTTTGTAAATCTATTTATTTGATGTATAACTCAATTGGTTAAGGCATATATTCTCAATCAAGATGGTCAAATGTTCAACACTCCTATCTCACATGTTGAACTAAAAAGATGTTGTCGTTGGAGTATAAAACTACTTAAGTGGCTTCAAATTACCGTTCTTCCCTTCCGCTCTTGCTCCGTTATACTAACCTATTATCAATTTTATGTTAGCTGGAGAGAATAGTTGGAACCGTGCCAGCAAAAAGGATGGGGACATCAGATAAGACTGTCTTTGTATTTTGCTAAGCCCCCCTTGTAACAGCCAGCATGCTCGCTGAAGGACCGAAACAGCCATGTGATGGTCTCTGCAAAAGTAGAGATGCGATGTCCCTATAACTGCCACAACATCGGAATCTCTTCGCGGCTTGGTCCAACAATTTTGACTCCTAAGTTCTGATTTTTTTTTCTTAATCTGATTATTATTTGTGTATTATGTACTTTTGAGATTTTCATTATGTTTATGTACTCAAAATTGAGGAAGAAACTAATGTTTATGTAGGCTTAAATCTTTAATTAACATTATGATTCCAATTAACTATCTGTCCTCTAAGGAAAACAATATTTTGATTTTTTCTCTGATATTTCTTGTCTGTTATGGTCTATTACGTATCGTCGTTAGTCTCACGATTTTATAACGCGTTATGTTAAGGAGAGGTTTTAATACCCCTATAGAAAATGTTTTGCCCCCCTCTCCGACAAATGTGGCTTCTCACAATTTTCTACTAGACATGTCTCTCCCATGAGAGCTACATCTTCATACGCTAAATAAATCATAGAGATCGAGAAGACTGTGTAACACGGTGGAGCACGTGGGAGGTCGGCAAGCTGTCTTTGCACAAATTCACAGACGATATCTTTGATCATTCCAATTATAGTCGTCTTTGATCATTCCAATTTGACTATAATGAGAATGGGAATCTGAATCTGATGGGGTTTGAAAGAGGCGCTGAGGGAAAAATGAATTTTTGCAGGTTTTGTTCCCCATGTCAATACCCAGAATCTATTCGCCATGGATAAGATTTTCTCCATCAGAATTGTTGCCCATGTTGCCCATGGTCGACTCCATCCAGTTTAGGCGGAAGTAGATTGGGCGCCCCTTGTTTAAACTAGATTCCATTCAACCTCCTTTTGCACCTATTTTATTCCAAGGCATTCTGGAGAGGCTAACAACACAAGCTAGCTTTTTCGAACCTATAATAGTCAACTGCTGATACTCCAACATTGGTAAATACATACACGTGAATAGGAGTTATACATGAAGAGATAATGAGCTAAATATGAGCCAAGAATTGAGTTGTGAATTCTATTTGAGTAATTTAGGTCACCAACTCGAAATTTTAAGTCAATTTAAAAACAAAATTGATTCAACCCAACTACACTTGTATAGACTCGTACCGTGAGATCCCACATTAGTCAAGGAGGTCAGGGAGGGGGACGAAACATTCCTTGGAAGGGTATGGAAATCTCTCCTTAGTAGACAGGTTTTTAAAATCGTGAAACTGACGACGATACGTAACAGATCAAAGCAGACAATATCTACTAACGATAACCTCGAGTTATTACACGTACCATTTCAAAAAATTGATTGATTTTGAAAGGAAAATTTGATTCATTTGGTTGTTAGAGAGGACCTTCCTCAATGTTTGGTTGTTGGTCTCAATCACAAATGTCAACCCAATTATTNTTTTTAAATTTTGTCAAAAAAAAAAAAAAAAAAAAAAAAAAAAAAAACTACAAATATTTGATTATTGTCCATACCTTTTCTCTATCGATCCAATTCCCTACCATTAATTATAGACCGACTAATTAATTATGCAACTTATTTTTAAAGAAAAACGTTCATCTCTATTTTAATTAACGGTCATCTAAGTGCAACTGATGACTAAAAAAAGAAAATTGACTTATATGAGACAGAAAATTAACAAGATGATGACTCAAGTACAACATTTACTAAAGATCGAAAGAAATATTACAATTTTTTAAAGATATTAATTTTTAAACAAATAAGAAAATCTAAGAGTTTTTTTTGGTGATTTAACCTAAATATTGGAATTCGTTTTAAAATTATATTCTTGATTCAGCATAAATTAGGGACCAAAGCATAATATTAGAAAACATTGAATAACATGTTGGCCACAAGCCCATAACAATGAATCTTTTATCTCCCAACCCAAAAATGAGGAGAACAAATTCTCCCTTCACCCATCCCTACAACATAAACGTTTAATGAACAACAAACATTTTATGCAAATATATCTACAGAGATAAGAGAGAATCCATTATAATCATAATTTGATATTAATTACTGAATATATATTTAAATTTTAAAAATACTTCAATAAATTATTAAAAAAAATTAATTCTTTATATTTGATAAAAAAATAATAATTTTAAAAGGTGTTTCAAAATACGTAACCGTTATAAGAAAATCAGATTGATTTTGATAAGAAATTTTAAAAGATAAAGATGGTAAAGAATATTGGAATCTTATTCTAGATTTTTGTGATCCCGAAGAATCCATTTACGAGACAACTAGCTACGAAAAGTTTTCTCCCATTTTACAAATACCGCTCTCTTTTCAACGGCCTATAAATACAGCAAAGAAGAAAGCGTTTTTTTGTGAAGCGTTCAAAATTTGGAAGAAAGATTTGAAATTTATGAAGATGTTAATGAGTTGGAGAGTAAGTATGAGCCAAGGATGACTTGCCTTGCATTTGTTCGAAGCTTTAAATGCAAAAACCAATCTGTTCGGGAAGTCATCCTTGGCTCATTTTTTCTCTTTTCACTCTTTTTTTTTTTCTATAATACCGCTATACTACGAGAAAAATGTGACTGAATGTATGTTGAATTGCTCGAATTTGACTTATTAACGAATGTCATGAGAAATGTGATTGAAAACACTACAAACTGTCTAGTTTGTCGAGTTGGTCAAGACACGAGATCACTTCCCTTATGATCATACAATGTGGGGACAACTACAAGCTCATTAACTAACATTTAATAGTGCACGGTCTAGATTGACATGGTATGCATTTGTATTAAAGTAGTTGGTAGCTACAAAGTTGCACTTGATATGTAATACCATTTTATCAAGTTATTGTGTGTGGGAAACTGTAAGGGTATCTTTGTGAGATCTCATTTTAAAACCGTAAAACAGACAATATTTGTTATCGGTGAGTTTTGATTATTACAATCTCCAACTATCTTCTAGTAGTAAACTTGTCTAGATAAAAAATGGCTCACATGGGTATCAGAATACTTAGTAGTCAGGAGGGTTGTGAGGATGAAGACTACTAAGAGATTCTTCAACTAATTTTTAATATTGAACGGTATAAATTAAATAGAAAAAAAAAAACAAATGAATTGCCTTTTTTTAGTATGAGTATTAACTTTAATTATAACTTAATTTATATGCTTCTAAAAGTTTATATATTAATATATATATTTCTGTTTTAAGAATTAACCAAAATGCAAAGAAAATAATTTGATTTGTTTTAAAAAATATTTTTCTTAATTATTTATTTATTAGTGTTTTCTTACCTTTCATTGAATATAACCATGCTTCTATTCATGTAGGAAACAAGAAACATATATGTATATTTAAAATTTATTTACTTTGAGAATTTATCTAAATTATAATTTTTTTTAATAAAAAAACATATAATAATTTTTAATCCAATCCTAATGTAGTTTAATGTTTGAAAATATTATAATTATAATAATAATTTTTAATCCAATCCTAATGTAGTTTAATGTTTGAAAATATTATAATTATAATAATAATTTTTTTGTTAACTCCGATTAAGTTGTGAAATTATGATTATGGCGTATTTTATGTATTTTGTAAAATTAAAAATTTTAAAAAAAAAAAAAAAAAAAACGTCGTCTTGATTCTGGAAAATGTTTTGCATATGAAACTAGAACGACCTTTCTACGCCGGCTCCGTCCAACCCTCCGACCGGCCACATTGTTTTCCCTCTTTTTTTACAGAGAAGAGATGAGAGAGAAGGAGCGCGACAACGAAGCGTTTCTGACATGGAAATAGAAATCATAGACATTTACTATACTAGTTAATAAATTATCTCCGTTCCTGCGCGGGTACCTGATTCTTCCATTTCTTTTTTCATTTTTCATGATTTGGATCTTGAAACGGGACGGGCGAAGTTGTACTACTTGGCCATTGATTCGTGTGTCGAGATCATTCTGTGAGTATGATTTCTTAGCTCATTTCATCTTTGTTGCATTTGGTGTTTTTATTACTGAATTGAGTGTTCGGATTCCGATTTCGTTTTTTCTATTATCACTTCCCATTCTATCTCGTGATTTGTAGTTTTGGATTGTCTGATTGCTGCTTAGGTCTCTTGTAGAGGAATCTAGGCTCTAGATTTTCTTTTCTTTAGTGGTTTTTGTGATTTTTCTTCTCCGCGAGTTGACCACTGTTTATTGGTGTGCTTGCGTCTTCGATTTGAATTCATAGCGTTTTTTCGTATTATTAGGTTCAAATTTGACCTACATAAGCGTTGGGTTGGTTTTGACATTTGGTGGTATAGGTTGGTTTTAGTTGTTGGGAAGCTTCAAAGCTTTGAATGGACTAATCTTTTATCGTGTATAAGTTGTCTTACCTATGGATACTCTTCCTGCTTTAACGGTGTCTTGTTGAAATGATTGTTGGCAAGTAACTTACTGTAAAAGTTTCTATCAGTGTACAGGGCTGAGGCCTTCTGTACTACTCATTAGGTGTTAACAATAGCAGGAATTATGATACTTTTGAGTTCTATAATCATTTGGAGCTTTACGTTTTCCATTTAAGTTAAATCAGATTTTTTAAAAAAAACTTATGGCAAAGATCTGTATATGTTATCAAATTGCAGATTTCCTTCATCAATCAGTTTACAGATTCTCTGGTAACTTTTGGCATACATTTCTCTCATTGGAGAAGTGCATATTGGTAGATAGCAATCACAATGCTAATCGCTTAGAGATATAGATGCAGTTCATTTTGTTGAAAATGAAGATAACTCAGGCATGGATTCCCCAGGATATGCAGAGTTTGCCAGGGCCTCGTCATCGTACTCATATGAAGAGGCCTATGTGGATTATCATTTTGGTTTCCTTCATCATTGTATTCCTTTTCTGTGCATACATGTATCCACCTCAAGGTGATAGTGCCTGTTACATTTTTTCTTCTAGAGGTTGTAAGGTCATTACGGATTGGCTTCCGCCTGCTCCTGCAAGAGAACTTACTGATGAAGAGGTTGCTTCTCATGTTGTCATTCGAGAAATTTTGAATTCACCTATTGTACCATCAAAAACTCCAAAGATAGCATTTATGTTTTTGACTCCTGGGTCTTTGCCGTTTGAGAAGCTTTGGGACAAATTTTTCAATGTAAGTTTTTTGTTTTTTTCTTATCTAAGCTGTTTCTTCTTCTCGCGTTTTGCATGGTCTTTATTTCCTTGTAATAATTGATGGTGTATGTGGTTTTTCGTAAACCACTAATAATGATGTTCATCAAGGCTTGGAACAAAAAGTGTGAAATT